GAATTGAAATACAACAAGGACAATCTATCCGCTGTCCGTGAATAATAGGTTTGTCTCGTCATACACCCGATCAAATTTCGCAGGGCTATTACTAGAATAAATATGATTTGAACATGATATATCGCGTTTCTTAAATCGAAGCTTATACGATGTCTCAACCTGTGTCTCGATCTGTAATTACATTTTATGAAAAAATAAAACAATAACATCACTTAATCAGATCGTTCTCCATTATAACGATACTCCACGATGATAAGATTTTGCTGGTATAATATTGCAATTGCTACATTTAATAACATGTTGCTATCACCAGCATTGTCTGAAGTATGAGACAGACATGGACAGATTCTTGGTTTGTTTTGTAGGACAATGCCCGTTTAACAATAATTGGTTGACGTGTACAACATTGCGCTGTAATTCGAAAACAAGCAAATGTTCCAGTCTGCTAAAGAAATGAATTATATAAAATACCGATCAGTTTATGTGATATTTATTGATATGGTTCCTTTTTATAGTAACGTATGTTGTCTAAAATTGGACAATTGTCCTAACATGGAAGACCATACATGATATATAGTTTAAGCCTGTATCTTTGGCAATTGAAGAGACTGAAAAGTAACAACCTGCTGCTAGCATTACCCAAACATTTCCTTCGTATTAGTTTTTTTATACATTGCTTCTTTCTATACGATTCTGGTTTACCGAGTTTGCTTACTAGATAATGGAGTCCTGTAATATCTCCCTATATACCCCTGGGTAGATTGGCGTTGTTTCCCTATATACCTCTGGGTAAAATGGCGTAATCTCTATATACATCATGGTTCCCTTCGTTATTTCCCTAAATACCTTTTGGTAATTCGGCGTTATCTCCCTATATACCTCTAGATAAAACGGCGTTATGTCCATATACACCTCCGGGTAAAACGGCGTTGTCTCCCTATGTACCCATGGGTAGCTTTCCCTGCGTTGTTTCCCTATATACCTCTGGGTAAAACGGTGTTATCTCCCTATATATCCCTTGGTAAATCGGTGTTGCGGACCTCTGTTCTTTCTTATGTTTTGACCTTAGCGTCCACTTAACTACATATCAATGATTCTGTACATTTGTACAAGACACAACACTCTTTATTTCTTCCTGTGTTTAAATTTACTTTTGGCGTTATCATTTTGTTAAATATTAGAAAGGTACTGCTTCAATTATTTTTAAACAATCTTGTTGCGACGCCATAGTGGTATAGAATTGGGGCACGGCGAAATATTATTTCAATCATATCAGGGTTTAATTTTGGTATAAGTGACTGATAAAATATGTTACTTCATTTTAACAAAATTTCGTCAACCGACGGTATCTCTCAGTGCAATTCTAGTACGTGTTGGCCATGATGTCTACTGAAGTTTAGGATTTCGTTCTGATAGGTATCAGAAGGTCGACTAAGATGTCGGTGCAACTACTGTCTGAACACTACACTGGATCCGTATTGCTATTGATGTCATATTTAATTTATTAGCTTTAGTGCTAAAGATGAATGATATTTATTTATTGAGTTCTTAACGGTCCATCAACACAGAAAAAGTATTTAGGGCCAATACAAGATATTTTGGCGAACGTTATATTTATGTATTAGATTTTTTTTTGCTTTTGAATGGGAATCGCTACAGCCAAAGTCATATGAAACCAGTCGCCTAGGGAGACACCAGAGAAAAAGTATGGAAGTGAAAATTTACCTCCCTTTACAGAACATTAAGTTGGAGATAGGAAACGGATTCAGCTTGGGTCGGGGAGAGAGCGGGAAGACGGTGAGGAAGACGGTAAAGATGGTGGAACACAAGACAAACGTGGGCTAAGTATATCCAGTGCGCTTTACACTTCCAAGGAACAGTGTGTTTTGTGTGATGCCAGTGATTGACTCTGTTTTACGTGTACAGTGCGCGACGCGTTGGGCCCCCGTGGGTCGTTTTCAAATGTGTAGGCGAGGTTGTAATTTACGCCACACACACACGCGTCTCGTATTGTTATGTTTATGATGTACTAATTATGTTGTTGATTATACAAAATTGTTATTAATCAACGTGAACGACAAATTTCTCCACCAATTTAGCGAAAGCACTGCTACCAAAGAAAAGATCCCGAAAACAAATGGATAAAAATTCGTCACTTGACAATTACGTCTGCCGTTTTAAAAATTCATTACCATGAATTATACAGTAAAATGTTGATTAAAGATAAATATTTAAAATATCAATGATAGCGGTGACATCATTATAACGGTGTAACTCTTCATGTTCGCTGTGGTGATAATAACACATATATAAAACTTACTGTTATTCCAATCACATTGTATCAAAGTATCCCGTATGATTTTTTTTTTAATTTGTATCGATTCATTTACTTAATAGGTTTTACAACGACTTCATTTTCGCCTCAAGAAAAGGAAGAAATTAAAAAAACAATCAATCCATGAGTTGACTATTACTTCATTTCGATTAAAAACACTTCATTGAATTGTGGTACTAAGCCTGGATATCGCTCAGCGGAATGGATAACACAGCTCCTTGTCGTAACCTCTTTATCGTTAAGGATATTAAAACATTATGAGGTAAATGAGTGAATCTCCATCTACTTGATTTCGTCATTTTGCACCTTTGCAGACAAGAATAAACCCAGTTTATGCAGGCACCTCCCCGGTCAGAACGTCAAGTATACACTTAATACAGAACCATAAAGTAAACACCCAAGTATTTTCTCTATATCTTTTACATGATTTGTTCATATTCGTTTACCTATTCCACTTTGACTTTATACGCCAACGGGTTAGTTCACTAAAATAGAAACATAAATACGATTAATTTCCGTATGTCACGTCCTGCAACGTTACTGCAGATAAGAGCTGGAGAAGAAGGACATATCCCCTCCAAAAACCGATATATCGTTCAGACAAACACGCAATGATGAACACTGAAAATAGTGCTTCCAGACTGTTGAGAGAATGAGTAGCTCAAATCTCTAAAATACTTTCTGTCGATATATGTAGATATCTATATCAACGAAAATAAATCGCAAATATTTTGCATTACTGAGCGCCTTAGCTTGAAAGTTTGGTTTTATCTTGTTTAACGTCCTATTCACATCACGTGACTCTTTGTGTGTAATGTATGCATTTGTGTAGGTATGTGTGCTGGAGGCAGAATATCTTAATGTATTTGCCTCCTTGCGACAGCGCTATTTTGATACCGACTTTAGAGTGCTATCTCACTGAAGTATCTTGTGCCTAGTTTTGTTTTGGATTAGTATTGTTTAACGTCCTATCAACAGCTATGGTCATTTAAGGACGGCCTTCACTGAAACATACCCCCGAAGACACCCAGCGGGCGAACCAGTTGTCAAACTCCTGAATCACTTAGCGTTAAGCAGGAGTATAAATTCATAACAACCTAATGTATGTTGGTTTCAAATATTAAACATTCGATTTAAAATAACTTGAAATACGAAGAACAACGATATTTGTATCTAATTAAATGTCTTTAAAAAATATATTTGCTAAATATAAAAGAACACGTTGTCTAGAATTAGGGGTGCTGGGGTTATCGGATCGGTATTAACTGTGATTATGGTTACGTAACGCTCAGCAGTAAATGCGTCCTAGATTACAAACATAAATAACAGAATTAATCATGATGCACATAGCATGGACACCCACCTGCATTATCAATATTTTAACCGAAGGACCAGGAACAGCTACAAGGTTGTCTACCTACAGAGTTATTGCAACAAATATGATTATTTGTTAAAATATTACTCATTCATCATATCCTCAGGCATTTAAAATAATTCTCTCACTTGGCTACAGGTGGAAGTTCTGTGAAAAACCTAACGCAAACGTCTGCATTTCACCTATACATTAGCAAGTGTAATCAGGAACAGTGTAGATTTTTTTTCGATTTTTAATAGCCGGATTTTGTACACCTTAGAAACTATCAAAAAACTATCTGACGCAGTTTTAATCAGAGTACTATATAAAGTTAAAATCAACTGAGCGAACTGAAATCGTCTGTTAAAAATACTTTTCCACATATAAAACAATTTCTACATATAAAACATCTTCAATAAAATTTCATATGGCTAAAAATATGTGGATATAGCAAGACATCCTTTAACACTGAAGTACATGTATTATAGAAGCAGGGCATTTACATTGGTGACGCAGGTTTATAATGAAAGTTGAAAGGTATTTAATAATGCTGTGTACGTTCGAAAGTTGAGTACATTGTAAGTAGTTGAAGTACATAATTTGCGTGTAGTTGGTTTCTATTGCTCTACGACCCTACAACTTAAGCCAACAACAGTGTAACAATTTACATTCACAAAAGGAAGGCATGGAATTAAAATCGTAGAAAAGAAGCAAAAATAAATTCTTATTGAACAAAAACAGATTACACTACATATTTCTTGGAAATATCAATTTATTAAAATTCCTCAGTGTGTATACCATGACATTTGTTACACGTTTGATATGTTAACATTGTATTACACACATGACTGTTACAGTAACCAGATAACGAACAATAGTAAAGTAAATACGGTAAATACAATAACTATGTATTAAAATCATAATGTATGTTTGGTAGATATAGTTGGCACTTATAAACACTGTAGTATTTGTATGGTAGGTGATTTCAACATGTCAGTATCTAACATTGTAATGTTAACCGTTCCAAGTGTACTTCTAGTACGTGATACATTGTATACCCTTGATTTTTCATGTCTTTGCTGTCTCTCTATACTCTCTCGAGTCCCTCAAATTGACATCAACCGATCACCAATCTTTATCTGTTTAGCATTGTATGACCTCCGTGTTGATTGAGCACGTTAATCAATACACGGAAATGTATCTTTTGCAATTATTGTTACAGGCAGACATCAATTGTCGTTCTACAAGTGACTCAATGCTACATGTATGTTGGATGTATGCAGCTTTTTAATAGACACAAAATATTCTTACCTTTTAATGTCTTCGTAGAGCATCCAATGTATCAAATCTTAGCCATTGTATCGGTCAGTGTATGTCCAGGTCGACAGCCCTTACACGTTTTTCTCGTGCTTTCACCGATGCCTCATTCACTCGAATGGTCAATACAACAGCGTGTGGAACTATCGCTTGACCAGGGGCGAGATTTGCACCATGTATCGATTGACCAGAGATCTGTCAATACTGCGAGGATGAGATAGACGTTAGAGATGAACCCGATGTGGAACTACAGTGACGATCGCTGCTTGTTCTGTGGCCAATTTTCGTTTTACTTCTCTGCCTTTCAGCCTCTGAAACTGATTTGTATTTATACGTCCTACTCAATCGATATAGCATGCCTCGACAGAAATCCAGACACGCTTTCAAGACAAAAACTAAAGAGCATGCATCTTTTAGAAGATTTAATGTAACAGTGTGAAAAAGACATATTGCAAATCAACCTTGTTCTGCCACAGAATGTGCAGTTTGTATTGTTGGCGTTGTTCTCAGTTCTCTATAGTGCTACACTATTAGAGTGTGAATGATCTGTCCGAGATTGTGTGGTACATTAAAGTGTAGGATGTGAATAGACTGATTGATAAGCATGGTTTGATTGCTGTATATTGGTCAATACGCAGGCTGTCTTAGTGTTCGTCTACCAGATATGTTCGTAGTTCGGTGGGGCAGTTAACGACTTTTTATCTGAGTAATGATTTTGATGACAAGCTACATGTGGGGCAATCCTAACAAGTAGTCTTAGGGGCCACTTTATAAAACATCTCAAAGTTAAGGAAAATCTCAAGCAGTGTGTTGTCTATGGGAACTCTTAGACTTGAGAAAATCTCAAGAGTTGAGATGTTTTATACAAGTGGGCCCAGTACATGTTTCTCGAAAAAAACACCTGCTATAGGTTTATTTTCATATGAAACAGATTTATTCTGAGATCATATTTGATTAATCTGTTACGTGAATGTGCAGTTTTTCACAACTATGTTTTTCAGGATTTTATAACAAATCTATTGCATGTTAAAAGTTTTTGGCAAATGTTCAATTAATCTCAAAATGAAAGCACGCATGTTTCTCTATCTGTCAATACACATACATATATAAATTCGTATTTTTTTCAAATTCTCATTTCATAAATATAAATCTCCATATAAAACAACGAATAACATATTTTCCAGTGATAGAAAGATAGTTACTATAGGTGTCTTCATCCATCTGCATATTCGGAAACTCTGTGTTGTACATTTGTCCGTCAGCAATCGATATCCATCTATCGTAGAAATGATAATGTTCGAAGCAAGCTGACCAATATATCCTTCCAGACCTTTTGTTTATTGAGACGAGGTCGTTTATAGTTTAATCACATTTGTCCATATGTAGCCTTGAAAGTGTTTTTGGTCATTTAAACGAACAAACCGGATACACTCTTCCGTTGAGCCTGCTACCATCATCCTAGGTATTTTGGTTAAAACATATTTAACCCCTGTGACTTTGAATATGGCTGGAAGTCATTTATTTCAAGTTGTTTAAAGGTAAACACATAAATATATTTAACCCCTGTGATCTTGAATACAGGCGAAGGTCATTTATTTGAACAAACTTGGTAGCCCTTTGTGTCAGCATGCACTAGCCAAATTTCATTACCCTTGGAATTTGGGTTGTTCAAAAGATGTGTAAAGTTATTTTAGACCATTAGCCTCTCTGACCTTAAATACAAATGAAAGCCAATCATTTTATCAAACTTGAAATCTCTTCATCTTAAGCTACTGGCCATATACCATTACCCTAGACCTTTTGGTCATTCCGAAGAAGTTGCTTAAAGTAAAAGATTGACGCCGGACGGACGAAGGACGCCGCGCCACGGCATAAGTTCACTTGGCCCAACGAGTCAGGCTAGCTTAATAAACACTATCCTGTGCACGATCGGGGAAATAGTTACCCCCTGCTTAAGGGTAATGATAACTGGTTCAAACATTGTTAGTGTATGACCGGGCAAAATTATGTGATTGGTGCCTTCTGCGTGGTATGTCAGCGAGATAGCATTATAAAGTCGGCATAAGATCTGCGTTATCACAAGGAGGCAAGTACACCAACATCCCCTTATCCGTTACACATACCCGCATGCATGCTTACACAACACAAATTGAAGCACGTCTTTAAATGACCTTAGCTGTTCATAGGACGTTAAACAAAACTAAACTAAATCGGAGAAAGAATTATATTCAACTAGTTGTTGCAAGTACAGTAAAACCTAGGCAAACATCAATCTGTAACGATCGGGCGGAATAATTCAGTGTCGAATTTTACAATGACATGTTGGCAGAGTAACAAACATTGGCAGCAATTTGAATTACGGTGACATCGAGTAGTGAAATTATTTAATGGACTGCAATAATGCATGTTTCAGAAGCCTCCCCCATATATAAAACCCAATCTACGAAAACTACGGGTTTTCCACTCCTGTCGACTTTCTCATCTTAACTTGTTTATCGACCAAAATATTATAAAGCCTCTGCTGAGTTTGCGGTTTACCGTACTGATCAGGTTTGGTTACCTATTGGCTTCCCCTATGCCAGAGACGATACATAATTGATATTTGTGGCACATTATCGATACTATTTCTCCTACAGGACTCATTAACAGATACTAGCTACGGCTTGCCCTGCTCTTTAGTTGTAAAATGGTTTGACCTCGCATTTAACATTCGTGTTTTGGGAACAATTGCAATGTCCATTTTGTATAAAAGTATCTGGACCCGGGTTGTGATAGCTTTGTTAACGCATTGTTAATTTTGACTTAAAACTTGAATTTTACGTCTTAGATGGTTATGCAATTTAGGTGGTGTAGTTTAGGTTTGAATCGTTTAATATTTTAAAACAAACTATCTTTTCTCTTGACACGTTGCTTAGCATATCAAGTCGTACAGACACTCAATTATAACTTAACATGGTTGTCATTTCCTAGAGTTCTAAACACAAAAACCACTTAATTTCCTGAGTATTTAGGTTTTCAACTATGTAACCTACATACAAATGTATTCACCAAATGCATGCATTAATAACCCGAAGATAACTCGTATCGGAAGAAGGGGCACTTTGACGTCTGTAATGGTAACTTGCAGCGGGTAAATTTTGTTTGTTCGACTTAACAGAATGAGTAGAGAGATAATGGAAGAAAATATATAGATTGACAAGTATTTCCGTTCCTTGAGCGTTCCCTAAGTTAATGATACAGAGGAATATATATAATTTTGCACTATAAAATCGGCATCAGATCCGCACTATCCGAAGGAGGCAATACACCCAAATATCCTGCGTCCAGCACACATACATAACACAGGAGGGACGCCCTTAAATTACTTAGCTGTTGATAGGACGTTAAACCCTGTACAACCAACCCATCAACCTTGATTTCGCTTTGGCCCACAATACCTACAGGTTGCGACCTGCAGCGGAATACAGCATGTCTATTATTTTTTTAAATGTCCATCTTAACAGTGTTGCTTGGTCCGAAATGACTCGCATTGTCGATAGGCCGTGAAACAATACAAAAACAAAACATTAATGTTCTAGAACTCACCGATGAACGAAACAATTGTATTATGCAGAATAATTCATTATTACATCACGCAAACGAAGAAGGAAAATAATAACGTCAACTTGCAATGGTGACAGTAAATCTTTTTTGCTTTCCGAAAGTTCCCAGAGCAGAAGACACTCGGGAAAACCTAGATTCTGCAAAAAATTTAATGAGCCTACACAAGTCCCTTCTCGATAATATATATAGAGAATAATATATATATTTTTTGATATCACACCCAGTATCAACCATCGACCAATATCTATCTCATGATCTATTTTTCTTTTGAAATATTGAAAAACGAAAAAAGTCATAAAGTGCTAAAGATTTAAACAACAATAACTCGATTGGAATATTTGGATTACATTTGCAACAAATAATATGACTCGCCTATTCGTCGCCGTCTTTCAGCGGCCATTGTTGACCTGTTGGTAAACAAGGGTTCCGAATGATGTTGTTGGTGGTAGATGGCAAAAAAATGAAATGTTCCAAAACGGGTATGATACTGGTTTTGCGGGCTGATACAGGTTTCGGGGTGTGATACAGCGAGGGGTGATATGAGTAAGATCAATATTGTGTCGTTTTTTGTTTTTTTTTAATTATCGTATATTACAATTAAATGCTTAACGGCCCATCAAAACAGAATAGGTCATAATGGCCAACAAATGGTAAAAATATGCAAAATAAAAACATCAATTAAACTTAAAAGTTAAAAGACAAACGTCAGTTTGAATATTGAAAGTAGCTATGATGACTCAAATTTTATTAAAAAGAGCAACAGCTTTCAGATGGCTAAAACTGAAGAGACAGTAATGTTTTCGAACGAGATTTAAGAAATGTTATGTTATTACAGAAATTTTCTGGAGCTGACTTAACGCTGTGCATTGAGGCTGGACATCACGTTTTATTAAATACCAATGGATGACTCCGGAAACGGGGGAAGGACAACCTCGTCTCGGCGCATCTCTCTGTAGCTAGGTAACCATTTACCGATTTCAGGTTTTAATAGAATGTAACTTGTTATATACGCATTTCTTCCAATTATTTTGCCACTGTGATCTAATAGAAGTTGCAATTAGTGATTTTAAAATCGGTAATATAAAGTTTAAAATCTTCATGTGGTAATAATAGTGCTGCTTTCGCTGCACGATCTGCCTTTTCACTACCTGGTATTCCAATGACATTTTGAGGTAATATGATGTAATAATGTTAAGATTTTGTTAATGGAGATATTCAAATTTTTGTTGTGAAGGCTTTGTAGAACAGATAGAGAATCAGAATAGATAACTGATTTGGTACATCATTTGATTTTATGTGGTCAAGGCAGAGATAGATAGCGTGGGCTCCTGATGAAAATATCGACGCATCATTGAACAGCCGGCATCAAACTGTAGCATCTTTATTTACAATTGCCGCGGTAACTTTATGATAATCTTTTGAACCGTCTGTATAAAACGACTGACAATCTCTATATTTTAATTGCGGTATTGAAAACTTCGAAGTTTGTGATAAACCGGAATAAAGTTGACAAATAGATAAGTTGTCGTATAACTCGATGTACGTGCTGGCTCTGTTTGCTCTCATTGCTCCAATTCAATAACACAAGTAAAGTGACGCTATCCCAACTGTAGTGTAAACCAGTCACATTTGGAGATAGCACCAGCGCCAGTGCTCTCCTTTTTGCTCACTTTTTTTTATCTTCGATCCCAGAAGAGTATTAATTCGTGGAGTACACCAGACTTCCGACTATGGTCTATATCTCTCTCTCTATATAATGAACAAGGTATGAGTCGAGACGAACATTAACCAAGTTTAGCATAAATGTTCATACTGACATGGTGCGAGGTTTGTTTTATACTATAATCGATATTTTATTAACAAAATGTTATTGCGTGTGACGTTGGGTCAATTGTTCTTCCACTGAGACTGAAACCTTTGAAAATGTTTGTAAATTGAAAGCATCAATTTGCGATGTGTAAAGATCAACAACCATATACCCTAACTTCAAAGAAACATAGCTCTGATTATTGTTGCATGCACTGAATTGAATACGACAGATGGCGATCAAGCCTTTCTACAACGATTAAATTACAAAAACACTGTTGCGTTAACGCCTCCCTTTCGTAGTGTTTGCTAGTTAACAATGCAACAAACAGCGAAGACAGTCAACTTTATCACAGATTTATTTATTTATTGAGTTCTTAACGTCCAATCAACACAAGAAGTATTTAGGGCCAGTAAAAGGTTGATACAATACGCGAAAGGAAATGTCATCAAAACAACTAGAAGAAAGAAAAAAAAAGTCAACTTCAAAAACAAAATCATTTTTAACAGACTGTTTTCAATTAGGTTAGAATTGTTGTGATATTTAACATTTCGAAGAGAAATTTGAGATTTGTTATAATACTATAAACATATTCTCGTGTTTGCTGAAAGTCATGGCAATCTAATGTAGCGAGACTAGACTGGATCGATCGTCTGCGACAAGGCAGCTTAACTGGTAGATGGTCTGTCTATAAATCGGAGGGTCCCGGGTTCGAACCCTAGTCTTGCCGTGCAGTTTTCCTCTCCTGTTACACTAATAACAAATGTTTTACTGTAAAAGGGCTGTGACATGCTACACATTGAAGTTGGTTCTCGCGTTTTAATAAAAAGGAATGGGTAATGTATAAATGACCACATCGTTTCAGCGGTTTTTTCATAGCTGGAATACTATTCATCGATTTTCGGTTATAAAGAGTATAATTTGTTGTCTACGCAGTGATTTCAATTCTTTTGCCGTTTTGTCAGTAAAATGTAACCGGGTGGAATGATGTGCTTGGTGCCTTTGGCATGGTATTTCAGTGAGATAGCACTATAAAGTCGGCATCAGATACGCGTTATCACAAGGAGGCAAGTATAGCAGCATACCCTCTCTCAGGCAGACATACACGTTAACACAATACACATGGGTGCACGTCTTTAAATGACCTTAATTGTAAATAGGTTAAACAATATAAAATTTAAACTAATATTTGATCTTACAAAATTTGTTATGAACGGTTTTAAGTCTGCTAACTAGAGTCTTAAAATAAAAAGGTGGTAGCACTAGCGCTTTGGCGGCGCGATCTGCCTTTCCATTACCAGGTATTCCTACATGTCTTGTTAACAAAAATAACTACCAATGAAAATTCAAATGAAATAAATTATCACTTTATAAAATATAGCGTTTTAATTACTACATGAGCATATATTACACATATGGGGCACATCGTTTAATGACTTGTTCATAGGACGGTAAACCCGAAATTTAAATATGATATTTTCACTTTTTGCAAAAGGATGAAACTAGCAGATTTCGTTTACTGTTTACATTTAGAAGGAAGTAACTACCATTTTTAAAAACTTTGATAAGTCTTGGTTTTGGGTCAGAATACTTTTTCACATACATTACCCAAATGGAGGCACGCCCTTAAACTGCATACCAAAAAAAGTGGTTTTTATATTAGTCTTTGCTGCCCGTTTAGCTTTTTGGAAAGCGCTCTGGAAGTAGGAATCGGATCCGCTCTATCGCAAAATGGCAAATACACCAACATAGCACAGATGCATAAAGTACACACAATACTCACCTCTTACGATTGATTGATTATTTTTGTTAATTATGGGAAATTTGTGAATTAAGACTCTGAACCATTTGGCATTAAATTTTCGAAGTATCAACCAGGGCATGTTAAATTCTTATTTTGGGTACATTATTTAGATTAAAGTACAGACAAATCAGAATGGTTAAATTAAGCATATATACCACACTGATAATGTTCTTCGTTGACAATCTATCGAAAATTCCGATTTTCCTTCAAACTTGAGCAAGCTATTATAGTTTTAATTAAACCGTTTATAAAATGTGCTGGAAAGGATAATTTGAAATTTATTACATAATCATCAGGTTTTTATGCGTCCTGACGACATCTCGTGCATAGATTCAATTAATTGTCAAATAGGTTTTATTAAAGCAATACTACGTCAAACAAAAACGAAAAAGGCCTGCTTTATCGGACAATAATCAACTAAGTGCTAACATTGTAAAAGTTGAATAAAAAGAAGTGTTTTGTCATTTAAGCAGAGAACCAACTGTTTTAGAACTTCAGAACCCATTGCATTCTCCACCTGGGTTACCTTCAACAAAAGCGCAACAATGAGGTTTTGCTAGGAATGTTCTCGGAAACAAAAAGTTGTGTTAGAAATTATAGACTTTCTATCCTTGGTGACTTCTAGAAAATAATTGCATAGTTCTCCAAGGAAGTGGTGTGTTTCTAGTTTGTAACAAGTAAAAGAGTAATATTTTATGAGAACAAATCTAAGTCCTTAAAAGAGGTGATTGTAATTCGCTGCTTATTTTTGGACATGAAGGGTAATCGCAACTGGTTAAGCCCGGTTTCAGTTTAAAGTGACAGGATCGAATACAATGCTGGGAGCGAAGCCTTTGGCATCGTATCACAAGTGAGTTAGTACTATTACAAAGTCGACATCCGATCCGCGGTTTCACAAAGAGGCTGATACACTAATATACCGCCTGCAGCAGACATTCATAACACTCATGAAGGCACGTCTTTAAATGACCCGAGCTGGTTTTAAAACCCAGCTGTGAAGCCATCTATTGTTGTATTGGTCCATTATATTGCATAATGGACACCTAGGAGTCCATTATTTAACGGGACAGTCCATTATTTTTTCCAATAATGGACAGTCAACGCAGAAACAAAGCTCCAAAACACAGATATGAAAAGTAAACATTTTAATATTAAACCAAATATGTCTTATCGTAAACATTCTAACAGAAAAAGAATCTAAAGACTCTGTCACCTTTCTAAATTCAATTGCAGCATAGCATTTCCAGTTTCACAGTTCACTATATACATGTACGTTTGGACTTTCTGCTTCCATAGAGACTACAGTCAATACCCTCATTCAAAACTTTACATTTATATTCAATACCCCATCCTTGATATTACATGTAATTTCTTTTCCTCCCGTAACGGTCTCTGTTGCACCTGTAGCATTCTCAGAAGTTTTCTGCTTTTTAACACCGTTTTCTTTCTGTTCCCCACGTAGAATTTCACTCATTTTCTGTTGTTGTTCATCACTTGTTCGTTTGTATAATCTCACAGCATTTGACCTATGTCCTGTTTTCTCCGCTATGAGTTGTTCATCAACTCGTGCAGAATATAAACGTGTCGCTGCCGTTGCCCGCAACGAGTGATTAGTAAAGTGTCCTGAAAACCCAGCTTCTTCACATAGTTTTTTAACAGTTTCCTGCAGAGTGTGAACGCCAACTGGAGCATCTACGTACCAGCATGATCCAGTAATAGTAGCTTTCGGGCGCAGATAAAAGGCATCAGTCTTAGCCGTTACTGGTCTAAAAGAAAAAAAATCAAATATATATGTGTTTCCTCCATTACACACGTTATGATAAACAAAACTGAAAGCATGGATTTTTAGCCCAATTTTGACAGTTGAAATTTGTTATTACTATTTTTAGAAAGTTCTTTATGGAGCTTTCTCAAATTTTATAGGTAGGTTCCCCTTGATTTCTAGTATCGGAAAAAAATGGCCAACAGGTGGCCATTTTGAATTGTGACAGCTGAATTTTGTTATTGCTGTTTATTAATATAAGATACACTCACCTTGCCTGTATGTATTTGATGTAGAGTTGTACAATGCACCTGCCCTTGTTACTACTCTCATAACCACGGGTCATCTTTGGTGTCACTTTCCGATGAGACAAACCACCAGAGTTGGTCTTGGAAATGTCCCCTGTGTATTGGAGATATTTACGACCATCAGAGTCCTGCATGAGCTTAATCTGAGACAAAGGTCCATACCTTAGATTTCTATTCTTTTTCAGCCCTCAAGGCGAAATGAAGTCCATTGAGATAGATCATGGTGGTGAAAAGCTTCTGAGGAGTATCTGATCCCAAAATTCCCATAGACCATAACTTCCCCTCCTGTTGAACAGTTATGATTTCAGCCTGTTTCCTCTCCAGCCCCAGTCCATAGACCATAACTTCCCCTCCTGTTGAACAGTTATGATTACAGCCTGTTTCCTCTCCAGCCCCAGCCCATAGACCATAACTTCCCCTCCTGTTGAACAGTTATGATTTCAGCCTGTTTCCTCTCCAGCCCCAGTCCATAGACCATAACTTCCCCTCCTGTTGAACAGTTATGATTACAGCCTGTTTCCTCTCCAGCCCCAGTCCATAGACCATAACTTCCCCTCCTGTTGAACAGTTATGATTACAGCCTGTTTCCTCTCCAGCCCCAGTCCATAGACCATAACTTCCCCTCCTGTTGAACAGTTATGATTACAGCCTGTTTCCTCTCCAGCCCCAGTCCATAGACCATAACTTCCCCTCCTGTTGAACAGTTATGATTACAGCCTGTTTCCTCTCCAGCCCCAGTCCATAGACCATAACTTCCCCTCCTGTTGAACAGTTATGATTACAGCCTGTTTCCTCTCCAGCCCCAGTCCATAGACCATAACTTCCCCTCCTGTTGAACAGTTATGATTACAGCCTGTTTCCTCTCCAGCCCCAGTCCATAGACCATAACTTCCCCTCCTGTTGAACAGTTATGATTACAGCCTGTTTCCTCTCCAGCCCCAGTCCATAGACCATAACTTCCCCTCCTGTTGAACAGTTATGATTACAGCCTGTTTCCTCTCCAGCCCCAGTCCATAGACAATAACTTCCCCTCCTGTTGAACAGTTATGATTACAGCCTGTTTCCTCTCCAGCCCCAGTCCATATACCATAACTTCCCTCCTGTTGAACAGTTATGATTACAGCCTGCTTCCTCTCCAGCCCCAGTCCTTGTTTAGAAAGGTTCTTCATCTTAGCATTAAGAATGGACTTCATTTTGGAATAGACTTCATCATCCAAAAAGCTTACCAGTTTACCGCTTGAACGAAGGAAGTGTTGAATAGACATAATTATTTCATATATAGTATTTGGTCTATATTCCTTCCCTGCCTCATCGCGTACTTCCGTAATAAAGAAACACATGGCATCTGACATTTCTTCAGGTTCCATTTCCATTAATGGCTTACTAAAATGTTGTTCACAGTCCTTGTTTGCTCTCTGATTTTGCCACTTATAGAATAAATTAACCGCCCACCTTGCTTTGTTTTCAGTTTGTTTGCACTTTCCTTCACTCAATAAAGACTGCAAGTCTTTCTCTTTTAGAGGGGACAGGAATCTAGTACTTTCCTTTCCATTGCTCTTAATGTCTGAATTTTCCATATCCATAGATGCTTGTACTAATAAATAATCATCAGACGAAATGTCAGAAAATAAGTCATTCTTAATGTTAAAACAGGGCACGTATTCTTTCTCCATGTCAATTACTCCACTAAGAACTTCATCAGTATCAGCTTCACAGCAAGACACATCTCGAAATGAAGATTGTGTGAGGAATGGTCGCTGTCTGACATGATGTTGGCTCATCTAGTGTATAATGAATACTGAACACTCAGAGTGCATGCAGTGTCAACCTGACTGTCCATTATGTGTCACGGGTGACTGAACACATTTATATTACTGCATGGGCATGTGCTATTTCTGATAAAGGTTAAGAAGGCTAGCAGTGTGCTAGGTTTTAAGTAGGATAAAGTCATTATTTCGGACATTATCCTTTACATAGATTGTTGAACAGAATACAATCAAAACCGAACTAAAATTTTCGCATCATTAAAGAGCGATACAATAGCGAAAATGAATCGTAACCAATGTATTTCAGACTCTGCAGTCAAAAGTAAATTGGGCTAAGCGTCCTATTAACAGCCAATGCCATTCAAGGACGTGCCTCCCGGGGTGTAACTTATGACTGTGTGCTGAAAGCTGATCCTTTTTGTCCTCCTTTCAATAGAATCAACAAAGATATAAACGTAAGTATTATTCACGGTTAACAATATGTTTATTATCAAAACTTAATGTTCAGTAGCAATTTGTGCTAAATATGACATTTCCAATTGAATCCTTTCCCTGGAAAGAAACATAATTTTAAAATTTGGAAAATTACAATGTCCTTTACCTCAACAATATGATACAAAAAAAAACTTGAAGAGTTTGTGGGTGACTGTAATATAATTAAATGAACGATGTCTTATCACTGTCGGTGAAGACTGCTTTTATTTCTCTTTGAGTGACTTTTAAAGATATCATTCAAGCTGTTATTTATTGTAAATTAATGTTGTTGCTATGTAATCAAGTCCTACGGATAGCATTAAACATACCATTATCTTTGAAGTATTGAATCGATATTTCTTAAACTGCGATGCTACTTCGAATTTTTTAGTGTTTTCGCGCGGACTGATTACAAGCACAAACCCCTTTTCGACGTTTTTACGACATTAAAGTCGTCATTTTATGGACTAATAACGGTACTGAAAACGACAGCGACCACACTTAGAGTCATTAACTGTTCCTATGCTCGATGTGACTATATGCAGTAATATGTTATTTCATTTACCATAGTGAGAGTTTGAATCTGCATGATATAAACAAATTCATGCACGAGATTTAATGTTTTAATTTTCAACCATCATTCGTGAAACAGAATACTTCTAATGGACCACGATTGCGAACAATCGTGTTCTTTGGTCTTACTGTCGAATGTTCACCATCTTTTATATTTAAGTTTTATTTTCTACACAAACAACGTACGTATTAAACGTGTCGCAACGTTTCAAAACCATCTAGTGCTTTGTCAAGCTATTGGTCAGCTTGGCAATGGCACCAGTCGGTCTTGAAACCTGATCCAGGTGTTGCAACTTGGGCAGCAGATCAATTTTAGTTTCTTCCATGTTTCTATCGTCGAAGACCTGAAAACACCACGATTCTTCCGGAGGTGGGGGTAGGGGCGGGACACTAATCGCCTAATACGCAGATGACCTTATATGACTTTGTATGTTACAACCAATATCTTTTTGTGAAGATCTATATGTTGTGTTGATTGCCCCTAAAAGACTCAAATTGTCAATGGACCGTACAACAATAATAAATCAAACAACACCTATGAACCGATCTTCATTAATACCCAAACGATTCCGGGGGAGAGGGGGCTGCAGGTTTGCACTCCATCCGTCCGTCCTTCCTCCCGAGAAGTTTGTCCGGAACATATCTTCTATACTATTTCACATGGATGTAACCAGATTTGGTGTACAAGGACATCTTTGGATTGCACAATAATGTGACCTATGACTTGACCTTTGACCTTCTTTTTTGAAAATATTTGTCCGAAGCATTATAGTATTTCACCTGGAGTATCCCACTTTGGTGTACAAGGACATATATGACCTCACTGTAACCTATGCTTCCTTACATAAGTTTGATTTGGTTTAATTTTGTTTAATGTCCTATTAAAAGCTAAGGTCATTTAAGAATGTGCCTCCATGTGTTTTAGTGTATGCGTTTTGCGTGTGTGTATGCATGAGACGGGGTATGTTCCTGACATAAGTTTACTGTTTGTTAAATATATAAATCATTACCGGTGGGGGACTATAGATTGCATACAATACGTTGCTTTGTTTGTTATAACGTAATCGGATGGAATGCAGGGCTGCGTGCCTTCGGCATTGTCATTCAGTGAGATTGCACTATAAATTCGGCATCAGATCTGCGCTTTCACAAGGAGGCAAAGACACCAACATACCCTGTCACCGGCAAACATACTAACAGACATACATACACAACACGTACAATTTGTATGGAGGCACTTCCTCTTATGATGACTTAAAAAAAATCGTTTTGCTATCGGCGAACACTGCCATTCGTCAAGAGGCAAACATTTGCCACCATTTACGATATACGTACAATTGGATACAGCAGATCTATTCTTGGATTCACCAATGTCTACTAAACAAAGCAGAAGCCATGCCGAGTCTATAAGGACTCCTATTGCGATGATGCAGTGCGATATAGCAGTCCCCCCCCACCCCTCCCCCCAAACATGCACCGGGTTGTGCTTATACATTTAGATGTTCAGTTAAATAAACAGATGCCATTCGGGATTTGATACGTTTCTCTTTCACTGCAGATAATCGCGAACTTCTTAAGCATCCTTTTTAAAATGATATACATACATGTCCTTTCTCTAAACCATTATGGGATCGAGCGTCGTCATATATCCATGCCATCTAAATCGCAGATGTAATCGGTTTCTACAATTCTTTTGATTGTTCTAACACATACAAACTGTCACAAAACAAAAATTGGCACCAATGCATACTCAAAACGAACATTAGCAATTTTCCGCAAGCCCAAGGGAGCGGATAAGTTTTTTTCACTATTGCATACTGTGCGTAATAGTGTTTGCAGAGATAACAGTTGCATACTTGTTGTCTCCACGTCCAAACAAAGCTCCAACCATTATTTGTTCTGGTTTATCACTATTGTCGTAGCGTTAAAATTTATATCGGGACCCTTGTGCCCATATATCACGTGATCCGCAGTTCTTTTTTCCTTTGGCGTACTGTAGACCTTACAGAAAACCGCTTTACCTCATTATGTTCTCCCTAAGGGGTTATATACTGCAGAACTGTTGCAGCAGGTATATATTATGTACAATTCTTTTAAAAAGTGACACATTGAACTTTCTTGACTGTAAATTGAATATCTGAGGAATTTCATTAATAAGTCTATTATTTACCGTAATTATTCTGTCACAATCAGTTATATGAATTTACGAAAATGAACTTGCACCAAGTTTGCTTGAAAAATTCTGTGCCTCTCCACTACATGTTTGGGGATCTCTACCTTTTTCTTTCACTCTAACCTTCTGCAAGTGTCTCCCTGGGTTCTTCAGATAGCCGTGTAGTCAGAATAATGTGCCCATGTGAATATCTAGATCAGCTAATGACATTTTAGTACGATTATACTTTTAAAAAGGCCGTTTGCCGTCAGTTCCACTTCTCTTGTCTTTTCAATATGTTCGTTATTAACGACTTATCAACACAGAGGTCAAAAGGGTCAATCAATGGTTGACAACAAGATGTTTAGTTTGGTTTTGGAATGTTTAACGTCATATAATAAGCTACAGTCATTAAAAGACGTACCTCCATTTGCGTAATATATGTGTCGATGTTTTCTCTAGAGGAAAACTAAAATAATATTTCCAATATAAGATTAATATAAACAAGGCAGGAACTCACAACGAAATGATTATGAAACTATGCACCACGTTTGAGATCATATTGTCGTTCAAAGGTAGGGTCAACGCCTATTGATAGTTCACATTAGCGCCGACCCCCGCTTGGAATTTCAGAACAAGATTAATCCAAAAAGGTATGGGTATATGAAGCTTAAATCTGAAAGAGCTAGTTTCAGAATTCATTTTATGATAAATGGGACCTCATTGACTAACACCTGTGTGGGTGTTAAAGGTGCGGTAATACAATTCCTCTTAGAACCATTAAATGACACAATTACTATTAAATTATATCACCATTGTGTGCAACATACTCCAACTGCTATTTTGATACCGAATAATATCAAATGGCAAAGCCTTAAAAGAGCGTAGCTTTTGTTGGTCTCTGATATTTACTGATTCAGAATACTGCTTTCAGAATGAGATAAAATAAACTTTATATAAAGTCGGCAAGTCGAGGAATAACAATAAAACACAAGCTCTCATGATATTAAGACCGACAAACAATAGGGGAGACCGTGGCAAGTTCGGACAAATTTTTATTTAAGTCCGTTCTGGGAAGTGTGGCAGCATGTCCGTTTTTTGATTTATTAATATTAATATTATTTAACGTTTCCTGTCGGAAGATCGGATGGCCGAACGAGCCCCGCCGAGGAGTAAGTACGGACAGGCAATCTGATAATTCGGCCGCCATTGGAATCAGCTTAGTTAT